TGCTGTGAGGACAGAGGTGCGTGGGTGCAGCAGAAGCCAAGCCGCCCATGAAGCCCACTGCCTTCTGCCTGGGTCTTTATAGAGGGAGTTCGCCCTCCCACTGATCTAATGACTTAAAGTGACTTTTAAGAGTCTGTGTCAAAAGTCCTCCCACCATCGCTCCCCCATGTTTTCCTTTCTGTAGATTCTGGGAGCTGCAACCTGTCAAGGCCAGTTGGAAGTACGCAGCGCTTCCCCGGGGCGAGAGGGAGGGAACACAGCCTGGGTTTTGGACATGACTATTACAGCCCATTCCCTCCCTCCTGAGGCAGCGAGAAGGGGGCTCTATCGGCTCCCTGCCAGAGTCCATTTTCCTGCAAGTACAAGGTTATGCGTTTACCTTGGTAGTTACATCAGGTGGAGATGCAGCGGTGGCTGCTCTGGGCTGCTCATCCTGCACATCCCTAGGAAGACTCCCTCCCACTTTGAAGACCTCATGCTGCTGTGGGGAACCCCAAAAGGTGCACCAGGTGCAGGGGGGGCAGTGCCCACAGGACGGCATCAGCTTACGTACCTCCCGTTGTCATGTGCTGTGCCCATACCCAGGCCTGTCCTGACCCCCAGCGTCCTCCAAATCCAGGAAGCATTAACTCACTTTATGAAACTAATACATATGCATGTGAATAAGTCCTCGAGTACAACAGGACGCACACAAGAAGGAAAAATTCTTCTCGCACTCCACAGCCCCAGAGGGAACCACCCTTTCTGATGAGCTGGATTGTTTCCATAGTTCCCCATGCTATTCATTAAGTGGTTTTGCCAAAAAATGCTAAAATTAAAACATAGTCCTTTGACATAATTTTTTAGGTCAAACTTGACTAAAATGTATTTTTAAAATATTGTTCTCTCAGAATAACTTTTTGAAGACAGCTGTGTGGGGTTAAGAACATCATGCCGCTTGTTTGCTCCTAGCCCAGACGGGGCGGGCAGGAGGGTTTGCAGCCTCCTCTGAGCTCCAGGATCAAGAACAACTGCAGAGTGGAGACTCGGTTGAGAATAACTCCTTCCGGTCAGCTGGATCTAGCACAATAAAGAAACTGATGGGAAGAAGCCTCACCTAGTTGTCAGGAGACCTGAGATCGGCCTGCCCTGGTTCTAATGGCTCAGGCTCTCAGTAACACATGTGCAAAGAGCCATCAAACAGGTCGTCCCTGTGAAGTCTGCCCACTGAGCGTGACATCCTCATTGTACCATGAACGTGATGTCCTTGCTGTACCAGGGGCAGCACAGAAAGCCACAGAGAAAGCCTGGGCCTCGGCGGCAGGAAGTCCCAGCTCTGAAGCTGGGCTTCACATCACTTGAGCTATGTGACCTTGGACAGGACACAAAAAGTCTAAACTACCATTTCCTCATTTGAGAACTGGAGACGATATGTGACTTTACTCTCAGGGTATATGATTAAGTGGGGATAAAATCTAGAGCACACTGCCAGATATGTAAAAGAAACTTGTGGAGGGCCAACCGAGTGGCTCAGTTGGTTAAGAGCTCACTCAAGAGTGTGAGCTCTGAGCAACAGCGGTTCGAGTCCATCCTGAGCTGAGCAGCCGCTGAGCTGCCAACAGGTGGCAGGATGGCTCAGCTAAAAAAAAAAATAATAAATAAATAAATAATAAATAAACTTGTGGAATTGTATCAATTACTATCATTTATAAACATTTCAATAGATATCAAACTGTGTGTTGCCTTTGAAAAACATTCAAACAAGGAAAAATGTGAATATGACTTGGAAGGAGACAGGTAGCTTACTTAAGCTCTATTTCTCTTCTTAAATACTTCACTCATCAAACTGATTTACTAGTAACAAATAAAATTACTTACATCCTAGCACAAAAAGTATATTTAACAAAGACATTAGTATCCACTTGTTACTCAATTGTTATTCTGTTTCTATTCATTGTACTTCTTTAGGCATATTTCTGAAAAATTAAAATTGTATTTGTTGAAGTAAAAAAAAATAATATACTATGTTTCCCCATAATTCATCCAAAAAAAAAATCTGGTCTGGTAGATATTCGTTTCTTAAACATGGATTCTTTTCTCCAGTTAAGTTTAACTAGGAAGCCTTTTCTGTCTTTCCACAGAAGGAAGATGACAGAGAAATGTATCAGCAAGAATCCAGAGAAACTCTTGAATCAAACTTCAGAATTTCTTTTCTCAACTGGAATATTTAAGGGGCACACACCACTGCCCCACGCTGAGTGTGGGCACACAGAGGCCACCGTCTAGCTATGTAGTGAAGTTATTATCTCTCACTGCTTCCTCTGAGAGAGTGGACAAGTAGACAGCAGGGAGATGCAGCTCTGGGTGTAACTGTCACATCTTCTCCCCACAGGAGCCTGATGAGGACAGACAAGTGGCCTTATTCTCCTTGACAGAAAGAGGGGACTGCGAGCTCCTCTCTGGCCACTGTGCCTAGTGGCGGCAGGCCCCCGTGGATTCCTGACGGGGCTTGACGTGCAGAAGAGGAAGAGTGGGCACGATGCCACGGGGCATCTCTGAACTGATGGAGGACCTAGCTTCCTCACCTCCAAGACGCTGAGCTCCTGTAGCCCAGGCTCAGTGAAGGAAAGCACCATGGAAGGGTGAATGGCCTCTGCTTTCCAAGCCACCAACGCTCATTCTGTCACCATTCTGTCACCAGAAGCACCTGACATGTACCACAGACCTGTGTCATCCTGCACGTTAGCCTGTGTCGCACCCACAAAGACATCACTGTTTGAACTTGGAGCTCACTGGGATGGAATTATAAGACTGGTGCCCTTCTAACTGCGTTCTCAATTGTGACATGCCTGTTGGCAAGACACCAATCCTCCCTGTCGCCCACTGGGTAGAATAATTCCTGCCCCCAGTTATTCCTGCAGGGAACACAAATCTGGACAAATTTTAAGCAGCCATTGGTTAAAGTTAGGAAAAAGGTGTTATATAAAAGATAGTTGTTTGGGCCGACTGAGTAGCTCAGTTGGTTAAGAGCACAAACTTTGAGCAACAGGGTCACCGGTTCCATTCCCACATGGGCCAGTGAGCTGTGCCTGAGCTGAGTGCCACTGAGATGGTGAGAGTGCGTGCTCTTAGCAGCAAGGTTGCCGTTTCGATGCCCACATGAAATGGTGGGCTGTGCCCTCCTCCTCTCCCTTTCACAACTAAGATTGAACTCGGCCCTTTGAGCTGAGCAGCCGCGAGCTGCTGACAGGCAGCCCAATGGCTCAGTGTGCAACAAGGTTGCCAGTTCGACTCCCACATGGGATGGGGGACTATGCCCCTCCCCACAACTAGATTAAATCAGCGACTGGACTTGGAGCTGAGCTTGCACCCTCCACAACTAAGATTGAAGGACAACAACTTGACTTGGAGCTGATGGGTCCTGCAAAAACACAATGTTCCCCTTCCCCAATTCTCCAACACTGTTCCCCTCCCCAATTCCCCAATAAAAATCTTTAAAAATACAAATAAAAAGATAGCTGTTCATAAATATCACTATTTGGTATTCATGCTCACAATAGCATTTATTAGCTGGGAGGTCCCTAATGTTATTTCTTAATACTCTGATATCAAAGGAGGCCTGATATTACAGACTTCATTTTCTAAGATCATCCAGAAAGGGATATTGCAATAATTTTTATTATACACAAAACATTCCTCCTACATAAGAATACTCACTTTACAGGATTCTTTAAATTTTGCACGTTAGTCCATTTGACCCTACTGCAATTCACAGGTGTTAGATGAGAAAGTGACGTTTCAAATAATTCTGTTTCCAGGGTAAGAAACAGCATGTGCAGGCTTGTAATGTGACTCGCGGCCTCAGAGCCCAAGGCTAGTGCCTTTGGGCCACGTTGTCTGAGAAATAGTGACCTGTGTATGGTGTTTGTGGGCGATATAGCCACACATCCATTTCTGTACCAAATCGGCATTTGTGCACTGCTTTGGGGGATGGACTTAGTAAGAGCACTGACACCTAAGAACATCTGAGGTTGTGGATTACCCCAGGGGCCATCTTCAGGGCCCAGGTCATGTATGAGTACACAACACCCCAACATTAAAGTGTGTGGTGTACACAGGACCTGTCAATTTCCCAAGCACCTGGGCTTGCGTTTTTCCAAACTGAGCTTCAAACACCCCTGCGGTCAATGGTTGACACCCCACAGCAGATGAGCAGGCTGGCGGAGGGGGCGAGCAAAGGTGTGATGGCACTTGGGTGCCCCTGTGTCTGCAGGAATTCCCTTCCCTTTTCCTCCCTCTGTGGCCTGTGGGATCCAGGACAGCACCATGAGGGCTGCCTAGGAAGGGGGTGCCCCATTGCTCCTGCCTGGGAAATTGGCTTCGTGCTAAGAGGATGCATTGCACACTTCGTATCATTCTCTGTCTGATATATATCTGAATTTATACAGACAGAGAGTGTATACACACACACACACACACACACACACACACGAACAAAAAACGAACAAAAAACATTTGCCAGGTTAATGCAGGAACATCCACTAGCAGCGTTATCACGGAGCGCCATAATGTACTGAGTCATTTACTGTAATCCCGACAGCTGCTCATGGAGCTTATAACGCGGCTCCTTCTCCATGGACACCAGTGGGTTATTCTCATGACAGGAAATCAGTTTGCATCAAAACTCTGCCTCCTGGGATGCGGGACTCACATGGTCATTACGGTCCTGCTGTCACTTGGCCTCAGTGACTTCCAGCTCCTGTGCCCGCTCTCTGGAGGCACATCTATAAGGGGCCCCCACGCCCAGGACGGACCCCGGGGCAGCCCTACCTGCGCGTGCGGTGGAAACGGCACCTCTTCAGCGGGATCTTGGCCACGTGCTCCCGCAAGCCCACAAACAGGACACTCTGGCTGTGGAGGATCTGCAGGCTTCTGATGGGCTCCCCTCGCCTCTCGGGGAACAGCTCCACCTCTTCCAGCAAACAGCTGCCTGAGGTCTCAGTCAGGGGCGCCCGCACTTTCTTAATGGTGCCGTAATCTGCAAAGGCAGCAGGAAAGGAGAGAAATAAGGTCAGCGGGTCTCACAAGGCACTGGCCAGTTCAGCAGCCATGGTTCTCCAGCCTGGCTGCAGAGAGAATCGTCTGAGGAGCTTTTACAAATGCTGACGCCTGGCCCCCACCCCAAACCTATTCAATCGGCCAAGCTGGAGGTGGGCCCAGGCACCAGTCCTGTGCATAGCTCTCAGCAGAGCTTAGGTGCAGCCAGAGAGAAGCGCTCAGGTGCCGCCAGCCTCATCCAGCAGCAAGTCTAGAGGCCAGAGCTCAGCAGAGCTTCCTGTCACTCAAAGGAGCAGCTTTGCACCATCCCATGGGGAACATCAGTGAGAAGAACTCACAACGGACAGTCTTGGATTCCTAGTGTGAGACAGAGGGGCTGACCCTGCCACCCCAGCAGGGTAGACCCCAGGCCATAGGCAGCTGCAAAGATGCTGCCCTTTTCCCCTCCTGCCCGGGAAATCCGTCCTTCTCGATCTCTCTTCCTCCCCTGTCTAGGTCACCTCCTTTCTCCTTCTCTCTGATGTTCTGCTTGGGGATGCTTTCCTTGGTGTCAACACCCCAAGTTCTTCTTCCGTGTAAACATCCATTTCTGGCCGGGTCCCCTCCCATCTCCAGGTTCTCTGCTCACTGCGTGTTTCTGCTCACTTATTTAGAACCTCAGCTAGAAGCCCTTACTGGAGCACATGTGTCCCCTGAACCATGTCGATGTCCCAGGCTGCCTGTGAGGGCACGGAAGAAGGGTCCTTTCAGCCAGCGAGGGGCATGGCACGGTCCATGCCATGTGTCAGACACAGACTTGAAGCTCTGCTGTCCCCGAGTGCTGAAGCAGGCCCCTGCTAGCAGCCCACACAGCCAGGGCCTGAAACCCAGCCTGAGAAACACCTCCCAGAGCCGTCATCAGTTCCTCAATCATCCCGAAGGTACCGACTGAATAAAACCCATGAGGGTTCTGAGTTCCCAACATTATAGCTCTCGCTCTGTAAACACAGAAAACAAGGCTGAAGCGTTACCTAAAGCCAGGAATAAATCATGGACCTTTGGCTGCCTGGCCGCCCATCAGCCATTAATCTCCGGAGTCTCTGGACAGAAACTGCTTTTCAGTTTTCTGTTTCAGTAAAAGTCCTTAGAGTCTGAAGACGTCTACATTTAAAGATACATATGCAGACATATATTGTCCTCAATTTATTTTTAAAAATGTGTATCTGAAACATCTCCAGTGAACATGCATTTATCATCAACTGACTGTGAAATAAAGTATGCAGTATTAGTAAACCAGTGCTTAATTTTATTTTAAGCTAGCTGGTTAAATATGTGACTTTTGAGGAAGTTCAAGCATAAGCAGAATTACGCTGATGGTGCAATGTTTAAAAATGTGGTACCTGTCTCTGAGGGAAGTGTATGTGAGCACGAGATCCGGGGAGCAGTCCAGGTTGGGGACAGCAGACATTTTGACAAATGTACATTTCACAGACTTAAGCGTAAAAGAAAATTTGTATGTGTTTACTATGTGAGTCAACTTTATTTTAACTTGGAGACCACAGTTCCCAGCTGGTGGGAAATTCAACTTCAATGATTTCTGGGTCTTCCCGCTCGGCATAATGCAAAGCATCAATAAACACACAGCCCCAAAGCAGTAACGGGGACAAGATAGACGTTTCGGGGGAGGTGACTTTAGCACAGATGTCTCAGCCACAATACCCTAAGAGGTGGTCCTCACGAGCAGATGGAGGTGACAGACTGTCACTTCAGAAGTAGTGACAGACTGTCACTTCAGAAGTAGTGACAGGCCCAGGGCTTTTGGTTGCCTTTTGGGACATCATGACATCAAGGGACATTGTCTGAGCCAGAGGGTAGAAGGGACCACCACCACCCAGCAAGGCTTCTGCGAGAGCTTAAGTAAGAGAGTCCTGAGGCGAAACAGCGTTTTATGGCAATGCAGGGTGGGGGAGGAGTGGGGGCAAAGGAGATGGAGCCCAGTGGAAGAATCTTCATCTCCTGTCTATTGTTACACTGTTTTCATGGGAAACACAGTCACAGGACTAAATCCTACTCAACCGTGTAACAGACGCCTTGCTGTTGATTCTTTATTTTTGATGGATTGTTACCGTGGGGAACCTGCCTAAATAATACTTTGAATATCAATATGCTCACATGCATTTCAAATTCTTAAGCAACTATAGGAAAAAGCCGCAAATTTTGAAAGATCTTTGATAATTTGATTGAAAAGAAATAACCACCATTGATCAAAGCTTTTCAGCATGTTTTCTGCATACCTGCATCTGATTTTCCAGCTGACTGGGGTCCAACAACATGCATTTCAGAGAAGGGCACTCAGGGTGGACTGAGCCACCTACGCCTCAGCTGGGTCCTTCACCCTTGAAGCGTCTGGTCACATGGGCAGCCCCCTGAGGCTCCCCTGCCCCTTGGCACCAGGGCCTGCACATCTGGAGCCTTGTAGGAACCTCTGTTTCCTGGAATCCTCGCCTTCCTCAGCCTGTGCGTTATTCTCGCTCTGTCCCACAGTTACCGGAGTAGAACACCTCTCTCACCTGGATGTCTCCAGGACACTCCTACTCTCCTCACTGAGTCTGTGACCATGCCCCTCTCCTGCGTCAGACTCCCTGCGTGAGGTGCCAACCCGGTACCGGTACCGAGTTATCCATGGGCTGTGCCTGGCCTGAACCCTCATAACCTCCAGCCCCCCTTTCACCTTTAAAATTGAGTTTAATTCAGACTAGCCACATTCCAGGGTCCCGTAGCCACATGAGGCTGTGGCCATGGAATTGGACAACCTGGACATTCGCAGAGGTGTCTCAGTGCAGCCCTGGAGAGCCAGGTGCCCACGGGCCCCCAAATCAGGCAACATCACAACCCACAACACGACAAGCTTTGTTTGACCGAGTTTCACATTGCATGTCGCCATACAATTTCCTCTGAAGAAAGGTTCCTCCTCCACGAATAATCGACAGCCCCTGTCCTGGGCTTTCTACTGCAGGTAAGAGGGTGCAGGTCCTCAAAAGTTAACTGAGGGCTCGCAATGACCCAGCCAGTGGGTGCAGCCCTGAGACCGGAAGCTGATCCCTAACTCCTGACCTGCCCACAGGCAAGTGACAGATGTCCTGTGAGAGTGAACGCAATTATTGTCAGATCATTTCAGAACCTATGCACCCTTGTCTGACACCTTTGCCCATAGAAAACCATTCTGTCTCTCCATATTCTGTCCTGACAGCAAAGAAGGCTGACAGGAGAAAAAGGGCATCATTTGAAATGTGGTGGGGAGGGGAGCTCTACGGAGACCCTGGGCCACCAGGAAGATGGACAAGTGGGTCCCAGAGCAAATTCAGCCGGAAACATCACTAGAGGCAAAAATGACAACACTGCAATGGGCACATCATGAGAAGGCGGGGTTCTTTGGAAAAGACAATAATGCTGGGAAAAACAGCAGGCAGCAGGAAAGAGGAAGAAAATATGAGATGGATTGACTCCGTAAGAGAAGCCACAGCCATGAGTCCACAGGAGCTGAGCAGGGCTGTGAGGACGGGACACTGTGGACATCACTCATTCACAGGGTCATGGCGGGGATGGGTTTGGAGATGACTAACAACACGTAAAACACACACCCCTCCTCTTGCAGTGTAGCTTCTGGAACCACTTTCTTGGAACCACAAAGACCCCGACCGGACTCCAAAAAAGGAATTTGTTAGTGAATGTAGCTTTCATCATCCACAGCCTGAATAAACATGCTAAAGCTAATGCAAACAAGAATAAAAAGTGATATATTGATCCCCAATTTAAGCTGACATGAAAAAGCACAGGTGGATAGCTGGATACACACAAAGAAAAATACAGCACCCTCGTTTTCCTGACTCAGTCTATTTTCTGAATCCAACAAGGTAAGTTCTTGGGGACAATGAGTTACTCCATTGGTATGGCCACCTCTAAATGCAAATCATCCAAGATCATTTTGTTTTCTAAACTACAATTTTCAAACAGTCACAGGACATTAGAGTTGGAAGGGGCCTACAGCAATATCTTGAATTTTACAGGTGAGGAAAGCAAAGCCCAGAAAAGTAGAGTTACAAAGATCAGACTACTGTGTCAGAATTTAGGTCCTCCTCATATCCGTCAAGTTCTGGTTTCTAAATCTTCGAAGGCATTTTTGTTTGGAAAGTATGTACAGGGTAATATGTGGTCCCTACAATGTGCCTTGGTAATTGTATGGCTGAGGATTTCCTCCAAGATCAGGTGGGCTGATAAAACACTGTATTTAATGGTAGCTGTTATTCGAGGCAAAGATTAAGCCATGATTTAGAGACCTGTGCTGATCTTACAGAATTCAAAGCACAGATAATTAGTGTACAAGTGGGGCCAAGCCACACAGATCTGACGTTTCTATCATACCTGGGCTCTCATTACCATAAGCCCAGGAAGCAAACGAGAGAATAATCTGATTAAAAAATACCTTTTATTTCAGTTCTATTTTTAAAGAGAAGATTTAAGGTGACACAAGATTTGTTTAAACAAAAAAGCTGACAATTAAAATAAGACCCTCAAACCACTTATTGCTATATGCAGTGTAAGCTCTGTATAATGTAGCATCTAATGCACATAATTCAGTTATCAGTGGTTGAAAATGAACCCTCTGCTTGACTTCGGGGCAAAATAGCTGACATTTTTCCAATTTTCAATATTCATTTTGCTAACTGACATGGAATTAGTAGTTTTAACAAGATTCTATTTTGCATCTTGATAAAGATGGTCAAGTATAATAATCCCTTGTTTGGTATGAAAATATGCCTTATAATAAGATAGGGACTGTTATGGGCTGAATTGTGTCCCCCCAAAATTCATCTGTTGAAGTCCTAATCCCCACCCAGGACCTCAGGATGTGCTGGATTTGGAGATGGAACCTGTAAAGAGGTAATTGAGTTAAAGTGGGGTCACATGGGTGGGTCCTAATCCAATATGTCTGGTGTCCTT